AGCACTTTGGTTGGCCTTGTTGCTGTTTTAAGTGCTTTATAAATAAAGTGGTATGGTATATACATACATATATATATATACACACACACACACACACACACACACACCCACATATACATATATGCACACACACACACATATACATATATACATACACACACACATATATATACACACCATATACACACACACACATATATATACACACACACACATATATATACACACACACATATATACACATATATACATAAGTTAGCACGTTGCTTTTTTCAGGTTTTCCAGCTCAAAACAAATACAAATACATTGGCTGCCATCTTGTATTTTGATGTGGCAACTTAATTTTTGATAAGGAACTTTCTTACACCTTGATGCAGCCACACACCAAAATGTAAGTCGGTGTGTCGCTTACATTTCAAGTCATAATAATCACAACTTGGGACGGGTCGATTGCGGGTGTTTCTATTTCCCCCTCTTTGCTACACAATGGGGGGATAATAAAAATAAAATGGCAAAAATCAACATCAGCTTGTAAAATGACCAATTTAATTATGTAAAGATTTCCATCTACTTTTTAAAATCCCAGTAGGTGTGAAGAAGTGCAGAATGCTTGGAAGTGCCTGAACAGCACTATGCATAAAAACTTAATAATTTCTTTAGTGCAATTCTCTCAACTTATGAAGGTAACAAATATATGAAAATCTTGCATGATATAAACATATTTAGTGGAAGGTAAAACAACATGAATATTCATTCTCATTAAAGAAAATGAGAGTGCTTTTTATGATTAGTGTGAAAAGTGTGGAAAACAACACATTTTTATTATAAAACGTCGTAAACAGTCTTTTTTAAATAAAAATATAAATAATAATAAAACAATTACAACAAATAATAATTATAAATAATGACAAAATTCCAAAATAAAAAAGCAAAAAGAACCTCTGGTGAGTAAAGAAGCCATTAACATGCAGGGATTCATCATTCCTCACTGTTAATAAAACAAGTTTTTAGATTTGAATTCCCTGTTTAACACCACTGCCATGACCTCCCTCGTACCTTGTCATTGAGGTCTAACACGTAGGTGCTGTGCCTCCACTTGGTGAGGAGGATGGAATCGGACTGCTTCCTCTCCAAGCTGCGACTCTTCGGGATTTCGCCAGACTGAGAGGAAATATTATACTGCAAGGAGCAAGAGGAGAAAAACAAATGCTAAAGTTTAGTCCATTTATCCTGATGCATGCTCAATAATCCAGGTAGAAAAATAAAAAAAAAAGTTAAATCTGGTCCTCTGGACATTCAAAAAAACAAAAAACAAAACAAAGCAAAAAAATGTAGAAACGTTTCGTCTCTCATCCGAAAGACTTCCTCAGTCTGAGGTGCTGTATTCAGCTCAGTCTCTTAAATAGCACCTTCTCAGGGTGGATCAACCAGTTTGCTGCTGACAACCAAAACCAGCTGATCACATGCTCAAGAAGGACCATCAGCCTAACAATGGATCATTAGCACACTGATGGCTGTGTACTATTCACAGAGGGCTGAGTGATACCAGCAATCACAGCATTGTAAGAGGGGGACAGTTGAACCCGGAGGCCTCCAACCCTGTTTAACGATGGACGATTTCTTTTCACAAAGATGGCCTCCTTTACTCCTCTCTCAAACCATCGTTCCTCTCTATCCAGGATGTGAACATCTTCATCCCTGAAAGAGTGACCGCTGGCCTGGAGATGAGTGTAGACCGCAGAGTCCTGGCCTGATGATGTTGATCTTCTGTGCTGGGCCAGCACATTGTTAGGCTGATGGTCCTTCTTGACCATGTGAGCAGCTGGTTTTGGTTGTCAGCAGCAAACTGGTTGATCCACTCTGAGAAGGTGCTATTTAAGAGACTGAGCTGAATACAGCACCTCAGACAGAGGAAGTCTTTCGGATGAGAGACGAAACATTTCTACATTTTTTTTGCTTTGTTTTGTTTTTTTGAATGTCCAGAGGACCAGATTGAACTTTTTTGGATTTAGTCCATTTAATTATTATGTCTTTCAATGCCTGCTGCCCCCTAACTTCCTCTCTTCTAACGGTCCACAGCACATTTGACAGAGACCCTGCAAGCATCTCGTAATATACAGTAGTCCCCATGATAGGTGAAAATCCGCCGAGTAGGGGCGTTATATTTATTTTAGTATTTATATATATTTTAAGGCTTTATAAACCCTGCCCACACTCTTGGAATGTTCTTAACAATGTTCTAAACACTCTAAAAGAGCACGGTGTGTCATGAGCTCTCTCTGTCATGCCCACTTCCGCTGCAATCGCATTTATGCTCATCACTTGTGACACTCCCAATCTCCCTCCTGCTGCACCTGTGCACTGCGCTTCTTAAGCGCTCCCTGGTCTCTGCCAGACTGTCTGATCGCCTCGTGCCTGAAGTACGCAGCATTCTTGTTCCCGCTCTTGTTCCTGACCCACTTCACGACCACGGATTCCTCGCCCTTTGCCTTGCCAAAGGCGGATTCTTCTGCCCATTGCATATCTGGACCTCAACTTCTGTTCTGTTTTCTGACACCAATTCCAGCTAAACCCCTCGGATAAGTTTAGCTTTTTCTGCCTCTCTGTGAAGGAGCCGAACTCTGAGAACCAACTTCCACATTCTGAAGAAAGTGTTTGTCGGACCTTCCAGGTTACACTCACATATCTCGTGATTCGGACAAACCTTCTTTCCCTCTGACATCATTGCAACTTTGGCTTCTCCACCTGTGATCGAGTTCTGCAGAATGTCAGCTGACTTTCTCCTCCTGATAAAACTTTAAATAAATATTTTTGTTCACTCCTCAGTTCTGCTTTTGATACAGTTGATCATAATATTCTACTACAGAGATTTGAATACGAAGTTGGAATTACAGGAACGGCTCTAAAATGGTTTAAATCATGTTTATCTGATAGATTCCAGTTTGTAAATGTAAATAATGAATCTTCATCATACACCAAAGTTAGTCATGGAGTTCCTCAAGCTTCAGTGCTTGGACCAGTATTCTTTACCATATATATATGCTTCCATTAGGTAAAATTATTAAACAGCATGGGATACATTTTCATTTTATGCTGATGATACAATTATATTTGTCCATGAAACCCAATGAACCCAATCAGCTACTTAGACTACAAGCATGTCTTAAAGACATAAAAACATGGATGACCCTAAATTTTCTGATTTTGAACACAGACAAAACTGAGGTTTTGGTTTTTGGATCTGAACATCTTAGGAATAATTTTTTCAGTCTTTCTCCCTCCTTAGATGCATTAATCTGTCCTCCAGCTCTAATGTTAAAAATCTTGGTGTTGTTTTTGATCAGAACACGTCTTTTATCCCCCACATTAAAAATGTTACTAGAACCACCTTCTTCCACCTGCGTAATATCACTAAAATTAGAAACATCTGATCTAAAAATGATGCAGAAAAACTGGTCCATGCATTTGTCACGTCTAGACTGGACTATTGCAATGGTTTATCATCTGGGTGTCCAAATACTTCTTTAAAACATCTTCAGTTGATCCAAAATGCTGCTGCCAGAGTCTTAACTGGAGTTACTGGGAGAGCTCATATCTCTCCAGTTTTAACTTCTCTCCATTGGCTCCCTGTCAAATCCAGAATTGAATTCAAAATCTTACTTCTAACCTACAAAGCTCTCAACAACCTAGCTCCATCTTATATTACAGATCTTATTGTTCCATATTTTCCTAACAGAACACTTCACTCTCAGACTGCAGGCTTACTCGTGGTTCCTAGAGTTTCCAAAAGCAGAATGGGAGGAAGATCTTTCAGTTCTCAGGCTCCTCTCTTGTGGAACCAACTTCCAGTTTCTGTCCATGAGGCTGACACATTGTCCAGTTTTAAGACTGGGCTTAAGACTTTCCTTTAAAAAAATACTATAAATAGGGTTGGCTTGTCATGCTGTTATAGGCTTAAACTACTAGACAAATTGACCTCATTTCCTTAAATGAATTGTTAAAATTAAATAGTTTTCATTTGATACTATTTCAGAGTCAGAGTCAGAGATTCTTTATTGTCATTCGCACCTCATGTGGTACATGTGGTGGAGCGAAATTATGTACACAGGGTCCCAGTTACATCCAACAATAAATATATAAGAAAAACAGTAATAACATCTAAGATATGAACTAAGAAAAACATCAACATCAAATAACATCATTTCTATCTTAACATGTGATTCTTGACCTGCCATTGTGTATCTGTTCCTCTCAAACCCAGCCGGTCGAAGCAGATGGCCTCTTGTCCTGAACCTGGTTCTGCTAAAGGTTTCTTCCTCATGAGGGAGTTTTTTCTTTCCACAGTCGCCTTCATGTTTGCTCAAGATGAGAGTTCTGTGATGGAGTTCAACTCAAAGCTCCTCAGATAAATAATGTTAAATTATTATTTTATATATGAATGTTTCTGTTCAGTGCCCTGAGACAACTTCTGCTGTGACTTGATGCTATAGAAATAAATTGAATTGAATTGAACTGTGTGTGGTTGAATTTCCGGGTCCCCCTTGTAATTCATTACAAAGTGAAAGAGAGCAGGCAGACTGACGCGTGGGGGGTGGACTGGCCATCGGGAGCACCGGGACATTTCCCAGTGGCCTGGTCCACCCATTGATCGCTGACAGGGACTAAAGCAGGGGTGGGAAATTATTGTTTCCATGGGGCCACATGAGAAACAACAAATATTGTGGAGGGCTGGCACAAATGACTTTTTCATTCAACCTTTATTTCTACAGGTAAATCCCATTGAGCCTCGAGGACTCATTTACAAGAGAGACCTGATTTCAACTTAACTCAATACTGCATAATATTAATAGTATTTCATTATTAAAAGCAGTACATAGCACTGTTTTAACAAGCTGGTAAGAGTATTTGTTATGATTAAGCAACGAAAAAGCGAGGTTTCCTTACAAAAAATGTCATTTATTCAATTAAATTTCCCAATACAGTGGTAAACTGTTAACATTTTTACCATTTGTGACATTATATTAATGATCATTTTCAGTCACATTCACCCCAAAACTCATTTTGAGTTTTATATACTGCTGGAAAAAGTTCTTAGCTTTGTAAATATATCACAATATTGTCTTTGTACTCCAAATATTATGAAACATCATATAATAGTGATCGTCACTGAACTGTGATTTCGAGTCCCGGTTCTTTACGTGCCTACATTTGTAGTCTAAACATCTTATTTGGTGTTTTTCAGTTCTTTTTTCTTGTTTAGTGAGAGAAGTTTAGTCTCTGTTGGGCTTTAACGGAAATGTTAAAGTCAGGTTCAAGGTCTGAGGTGGAGATGTGAAGCAAAGCTGACATCATTATTGAGAGAGGATCTATATCTGGAATTGGTCAACTTCATTTGTTTACATATGTATTTTGTAATTCCCCTTACGGGGGCCGGTCACAGTCAACCAAAGGGCCGCATGTGGCCCTGGGGCCATACAACGCCCAGGTCTAGACTAAAGGCTTGGTTCAGGTCGCGCTTTATTATTTCAAATAAACAATCCATGCCGCTCGTGCGGCTCACTCCATCTATCAGCCAATCGTGTGTCATTTACAATCGCATGTTAAAAACACGTGAAAGAGCGAGTCCACAAAAGTTGAATCTCGAAGTATCGATGGACTACTGTAATCAGTAACGCAGACTGTGTCCGTTTGTGTTGATGTTTAATCATTCTGAGAATAGATCTACTCTGATCTGTTCTTAAACCTCCAGATGAGGAGTAGAGCCACTTATTAGTGTCTAAAGTTTTAGCCGCCATCTCATCCTCTTACAAGACTCTTAGGACACCTTAGGACATCTTAGGACACCTTAGGACATCGACAGCACAAAGCAAATCAAAGTCAGAATATAGACAGTTCTTTTATTTTGAAACTACAAACTTTTCAAGACTCGATTTTTTAGACTTTGTAAGATCTTTGAATCATTTTCGACACCAAAACATCATTAAATTTACTGTAATTTTAAATCATTGTAAAAACATGCTGGTGGATTCTCAGTCATCCAAATCATGGTCAATTAAAAAACCAAGGTTAAAAAACAAAAACAGCTGAACTTTTAATCTGAAGCTGACGACATTTCATTGATAAAGACTCGTGGATGGGAAGCAGAACCTTTTCAGCTTCAGAATAGATGTCCAGTTGGTTTTGCTTTTTAACCTGTTTTGGATTAACCTTTGTAAATCAGTGCTGTTTTTATTCTGTTTTTGTCCAATTAATGGGCGTGGGAAGAACTTACACCTCAACTTTTCCCCCAATTTTTGTTTGGATTTTCAGTGCATTTTGTGAAGATAAACAACTACCAAGCAGAGATCTTTGTACACCTAAATACAGTTTTATTTATATGTAAAGTTACTGATAAGTAATATGCAGATTTTTATCCCCCCATAAAACAAGACAGACTTTTTTCATTTTCTTCTTAATTACCAGTTGACAAGGGAGAAGCAGCATCAATGTTTTAGTCCGAATGTGTGTTTTTGACTGTACCTAGGCCTGTCACGATAACAAATTTTGCTGGGCGATTAATTGTCTCAGAAATTATTGCGATAAACGATAATATTGTTTGAAATTTGACAATAATTAGTAATTATTGTCAAGAATGTTTGTTAATTTGTTTTGCATGTAATAACTTTTTTGACCACTGGTTGGCAGTATAAGACTGTATGTATAGAAGGATGGATAGTGAGGGAGCGAGCAGTGTTTCTACTTAAGAAAAATGAGATGGAGGTCCCTTGACGTGACATGGGCTGTCTCTCATTCCTGTTTTTCAGTTCTGAAAATAGTGGACACTCGGTGTGGTTTGAGCTCTTTAACATAGCATTTGCTTTTTAATAAAAAAAAAAACAAAAACAAGTAAACAAGTTCTCAGCTTCTTGTTGCAGAGAAAAACAACTTTTTAGATGAAGGCACGGGATTCAACCGTGAATTTTGGAGCTTTGACAAGTCAGAGGTACCCCCCGACGTTGACCTGTTAGCTTAGCTCGTAGCTTAGCTTCTCAATTTAGCTGCTTTTAACAACTCAAAAATGTAATTTAGGACGGTTAAAACGGATTTAAAGAGAAAAGAGAAAGGGAGGGGTCAGTGAAGAGCACTGGAGTTGAGCTTTTTGTCATCCAGTGTCTTCAGTAGAAAGAGAGACACGAAGAAATGACAGAGCCGATAAATGAAAATGAGGTCGATAATTTTCATTTATCATGTGATTAACTGATTCAGTGTTTACTGTGACGGGCCTAACTGTACCAATAAGAAATTATCCCATAAATCACTCATCAGATTTTTATGAAACTCCCATAAAATAATCAGATAAAATTCTACAATAAATAACATTTGGAATAATTCCAGAATGGCCACCACCATTTCTTTAAACACTAGCATGGCTGTAACTCAGCCAAATATAAGGATATCACAATGACAGACAGTGTAGCATCATTAGGTAATGAAAGACTTTGTTTCACAGGAAGGACTCAGCAAAGTAAACAGATTACAGGCAGCTGACGTTAACAAGGTAATCTCACATTTGGCAGCTCCCATTTGGATTTGGATCCATCAACACTGTAGTAATAAGGTCGGCCTTGTTCATCAATATGTTTGATCCACTGTAAACACAAACACTGATTAGGATCCAAGAAAAACTAAAGAGAGAAACATTAATCATCACAACTGCATGTTAAAGTACCTTCTCCTGTGTGAGTTCAGACACGTAGAACGTGTGTCCATGTTCATCCAGCTCCTCAGACCAGCCTCTGGGGGGCGATCCGTACTGGCTATCTGACTGGCTGGAGTGGGTGCTGTGGCAGTTTTCCTCTGAGGACGGTGGCTGTGAACGAGAAAAGCGAGGAGACAGATAAAGAAACACAAAAAAATACAAAATAACAACAAGAGCGCATCAAACCTCCCACAGCATTTCCAACTGGAAATCTGCAGAAACAAAGAATACGTTCTAACAAAGTTAGAAACACTTCACACATTTTGGTTGTGAAATTGTTCATCTAAATTTAAAATGCCCAAAATTCTCAGTTGATTTTTCTGGGCCATTTTGAAATACAAGTATAATCAAAATTTAGCAATATTAACCATGACCATTTGTTTTTTATACTGTAACGTTTCATCAGTTCATCTCTGTAAATTTCTATTGTTATTTGCAGAAAAAAAAAGTGTAAAGAAAAGATTTTTTTCAAATAATTCTTTATCCAACTATATTCAAATCAGAAAATAAAAACAGTTTCCATGCTTTCCTTACTTTTCAAGATAATGTTGAACATTTCTTCACATATAATAAAAAGAATGTTCGGAACTGATAGAAAATACTGTTGCAATTATTTCTGCTTCCAATACACCAACTTCAACAACAAATTGTTCACACACTCCAACCTGTATAATAATCATTTTCAGCTGCCGCTGCAGAAAGATAATATGAATATTTAACTTCACTTGTCAGTGTTTATCTTTTTATGGATGATTTGTGAACCAGGGACTCCTAAAGTTTATCTCTGTGGGTCATGAAACCCCAAGTGAGATTTGTCCAATATTTTGTAGAATTTAAAAGTAAGAATGATGTCTATAGAGAGTTAATACTTCATATGTTGCAACAACTAAACAATAATTCCTCAAAAAATAGTTTAATTGTTTGTGTTGACTGTGTATTTGGTCATTATACCCTTGTTCACTAGGGTACCACCGTTTGCACACTTAAGCCAACAATGAGTGGAGTCACAAGTCAAGTCTCTGCCGTTCTTGTTCTGTGGGTTAGACGTTACAAAGTCTGGAAGTTCTGATCCAGTTATGGAGCAAACACAACTGCATTACAGGAGAACACCACCGTGGTGCAGTGTTGGATAATAAAACACGAAAAGACAACCCGACAGGAAGCCAAAGACTTCCCCACATCAAAAGCTGCCTCTTTCCTTTCAGTAACCACAACTGTAAAGATCTTGGAGGTGAATTGAACCTTCACTACAGTCAATAAACTAATGGAGTCCATTTCCAGGTTAAAGTTAAACATTTTCCAAACAAAGAAACTGATTCTTGTGAGTCTTATATCTATAGTCTATAAAAACAGGTTTTGACACAGCTTCCATTACCTCACTGTCTGCTGTGCCTAGGCTGTCTCCTCGGACACTAATGGTGCTGGTGTCTCTGGTGCGCGGTGGCTTCCAGGTCCGCTCCCCCGTACCTCGGTTGTAGTAGAAATATCTACCACTCAGGTCTTTATGGGTCTCCCAGTCACCCAAGATATGGAGTGGGGAGGCAGAGGGGATGGGGGGCAGGCTTGACTGAGAGATCTTCAACTCCTGGAGGTTGGTGTATACTGGGGAGTTTGACCGACCAGGACCTGTAGGGGATGTTGGCTAGAGAAAGAAAACAAAAGCATATTAGAAACTATATTCATTTGAACCACTTGGTACCTAAAGTATCTTCAGTGGTCAACAGGTAAGAGGCAGGGTACGCCCCGGACATGTCGTCAGTCCACACAGAGAGTGTACTCATGCCTAGCGCTAGTTAAGAATAACCAATTAACATAGCATGCATGATTTAGGATTGTGCAAAGAAACCGGAGTACCCGGAGAAACAGGGAAACCTTCACAGAATGATCCTGGCTGAATTTTAAACCCAGGATTTTATTGCTGTGAAGAACCAGCATGAAGCTGCACCATAGTGTAGTCTCTCTGTTTCTATAAGCTGATCTGTGCATTCACTTTTAAATATTTCCACTCATATTTTTAAGGCTGTTTTCACAGGCTGTGGATATTCTGATACACCAGAAATATGACAAACAGAGAAAGCCACAAAAACATTCCAGGGTCCATTCAGATTCTGATTCAGACAACTTTATTTATTCCCAAAAGGCAATTCAGTTTGGCAATTTCCAGATTTACACCCATGCACACATGCATATGCTCATATGTCTAAAAGCAACAGTAACCAACAAAATAAAACAAAACAAAACAAAAAAACATTAAAAGTATTAAAAAATATATATTGTACAATAACAAACCAACTGAGATCAGCGTCACAATTCAACCACTTTGTGGTAAAGCTGCAAGAGTAACTCAGAGTTGCCATCAAGGTTCAGGAATAAAGGAATGAAACAGTCTGTCTTCCTCCATGATGCTATAAAGCAAAATCCTGAAAGCATCCGTGTAAATTCAGAAGATAGGATGGGGTTCAGTCAGAATACTATTTTTCTAGTTTTGCGAAGCACACGTTTCTCCCACAAGGACTGCAAGTCCCTCTGCTAGACCACAATTATTTTGGATCAGACCTTAACAGTGCTTTAAGGCTGTTCTTATTCTTTGCCAATGAATCACTGAACCATCAAATAAAGGAAAAGTTCAAACACTTTTGATAAACAAAGTTACAAAGATACAAAGTTCGTTATTTGTCATTTGTGGGCAGACCAACAATCCAGGCACACTGGAATTCTTGTACAGAGCTCTCTCTGTCATAGTCAAAACACTGAAACAACACTAAATAAATCAAATAAAAATAAGAACAAAGTGTCTTATATCTACACTGTGCAGAAAGCAGGTAATATCTGCACCTTCCCATGTCACATGTAGTTTGGGGTTATTAATGCACCTGATTCAGTAGCTTTGTTATGCCATCATTCTGACTGTGACGGGGAAAAACTATTAAAAACCTTGTACTGTGGGTGATGATGCTGTCCACTCTACTGTGTCTCCTGTTATATGAACATTTTTTGTATCTGATAAGAGAATGAGCTGGATGGAGTAAGTCCTTGATGATTCCATCTGCTCTTCTTCGACAGTGCTGTACCCCAGAGCCCAGTGAAGGAAGTTTTGTCCCTGTGATCCTCTCCATAGTACATATGACTTTTTGCAGTGCCTTCCTTTCTGCTTGTGTGGTGTTCCCTTACGAGACGGTGATGCCTGCAGTTAGGATACTCTCCATCAGTCCTCTATAGGGTTGGGTGAGAGGGCGCTGGTTGAACCCCCTTTTCCTGAGCAGCCTAATGAAGTAAAGCCTTTCCATGTGGCTGTGGTGTTGAGAGACCAGCTCAGGTCTGATGTAACCTGCAGTCCCAAGAATCTATGGTTATCAGCCCTCCTTACCTCAGTTCCTTTAATTATGAGGGGCTGTAATGGGGGAGGGTTCTTCCTCAAGTCCAATATGATTTATTTGGTCTTGTCTGTATTGAGGATGAGGTCATTCTTCTCTCCATAGGTTATATAATGTTGTCTACCAGAGTCAATTCAAGTCAATTCAGTTTATTTAGACTGAATATTCACTTAGATTGGCATATAGATAGGTTGGCTAAAAATATCTGAAATGACTGTGCTCTCAGTTGTAATAAGGTCGTTCGATCATAGAAGATGTTTGCAAGATCTGTCTGAACTCGACAACAATAACAAAATAGTAAGAAGTAAAAAAGAAAAATAACTTGACTCAAACAGCTCCACAACATCCTCTCTGAGGATCGACATCTTGGTATTTGATTTAACTAGTAATAAAACTTTACTAATAAAAATTACATAAAAACTCCTTACGGATATTAAATTAATATAATTTTGACATTAAATGGATTCTCTGCTGACGTCGCTTGATGTCAGTGTTCATGTCAAATTTTAGTTTGGAATCAAACAGTTTAAAAAAAAAAAATGTACGGGTTTTTAATTTCCACATTTTTTTTCCATGAATTGAGCTGAGTTTAGATAAAATCCACCACAAGCTCCTTTGTCTTAGAGACGTTAAGATCGAGATAACTGTCATCGCATCAGTCCATAGAAGCAGGTAGGGCACCACCATGGTCTGACTGAACATCGAAGAAGGGTCCGTTAAGGTCAATTTGAAATGGTTAATAGTTTTCACAATTTAAATGATATAATTTACCTAGCATTCCTTGAAGGAATACATATTGCCCCACACCTTCTTATGACATTGATTTTGTCTAAGATCATCTTATGATAAGGGACAAAGTTATAGTAGTTTTGGTCAAACTTTAAAAAGTGAAATCGTGAAATCACAAGAAATCTGTCAGTCACCAAACTTTAGTTCAATTTCTGTAACATTAACTGAATTGTAACCATTTTTGTGTGTGCGCGTTATTTTAGGTCAGAAAGCTGTAGCAGCCATTTTGAATTGGGTTGACTCAAAAAGTTTAGATGTAGAGAAAAAAAATCAGAGATTAAATTCTGCAAGATTCATAAAATTTGCCCAGTAGTTTAGGAGCTACTTTGATTATGCACAGACGCATGCACATGCAGACACATGCACACAGGCATGAGCAAAAGAATAATTCTCTGCCTTTGCCTTATGCAGGCGGGTGATAAATACAGAATGTGATCAAATGAGCGATCTGTTGTGCAAAGCACATCAAAGTAACTAAACTATTCCATCTCTTGGGATAATAAAAGGAAGCAGTGAGTGTTTTTGAGGTTTGCATAGCAGCCACTGGAAATGCCACATGTGGCCTGCAGACATGAAAATATTATCAATCCTTATCCGAGTCTTCACACCAGATGGACGCAGTTAACTTATTGTTATATATCTATCAACACAGAGAGCAAAAAATAAAAGGGCTACTGCTTTTTAATGTGAGCTTTTGTAAACAACAGGACATAAGGTCTCAAACAGTTTAAGTGTCTAAGTTTCAACCATGTAATGAAACAAACATGAGGAAAATTATTCAAATCAAACCAATTAATAAGTGCAGAAGCTTAATCTAGAGCCGGGCATTACACATTTATAATTTGCTTATAAAGTAAGAGGGTTATGTACGAGAGGGTTGTGGATCTGTTGCTAAAACGGGTTAAAGATTCAGTTATTTGCATGCAGTATATTTTTCTTCATACAACGCGTGTGTTCTTGGCAACCATTGTGCTGTTAACGTTGCTTAAAGCCACATTGCAAAATATTGGTTAGTAGATGAGGAAAGCACGCCAGCAGTAGCATGTTGCAGGAGGAAGTAGAAGAAAATGGAACCTACGAACTTCACTTTTGTATGAATGAAAACGTTTCCTGCTATACAACAGAAATGTACTGGACCTCTGCAGCACATGATCATTCTGAGCGCAAACCTAAATCCAACACAAGTGTACTATGCCAGTGCTGCTGCATTTCTGAGGTGGTCTTTTAAAACTTGGCAGCAGCAGAAGGTCACACCAAAAAGGAAAACAAGCTACGTTTCCATGGCTACAGTTCAGAGCTTTTAACTTTCTGTGTGCTCTAAAATAATAGGTTTTGGAGTAAATATGAGACTCTTAAGACCAATACCAGGTTTGTATCTAAAGAAAATTTAGTGACACACACACACATTTCCTCCATCTGTTGCAGGCGAGGAAGGAAAAAGGTTCTGGCTCAAAAAAGGTCCAGACTCATCCATCATCACCAAAGTGGAGACGAGTTTAGAAACATTTGTGTAAATGCAGATGACTGAATTTGGGTCCAAGTCCGTTCAGGGTCTTTTCAGTCACGATACACCCGGGTCTTTTAAGAAAAAGTTAAACCAAAACATTTTTCTGAGCAGTTTAAAACATATTTTGGGAACGGTGGAGTGTGCACTGCCTGTATGCAGGAACATACCACACACGCCACTTTCTATCAGTATGTGTTTTCCATTTAGTAAAACTACAACAAACACTTAATAAATTAAAATGTATTTAAATGGATTTGGAAGTATTTGGGAAACTTAAAAACTAAATATTAAGAAGAGCAGTCTAAACAAAATAAACAGTGGGATACAATTTTCCTATTTGGGGACTTCTAATTAACATGGGCACATTCAATCAATTTAATTAATCGCAGGTTAATTTGAAAGGATTTAAAAGTGTAAACTACTGACAAGTTCAAAGTTTTGAATACGGTACTGACTTGGTAATCAGTTCCGTATGCACAGACATGGCTGGTGATAGAAAAACATGGCAACTAAAAACAGTCAGACAGTATTAACATTTAAAGAGAAGCACTAGCCACCTGCATCATGAAGGACCCCACTCACCCAGCACACACACTTTTTGCCCCACTCTCCTCAGGAAGTAGGTTAAGGAGAATTAAGTGTAGAACAACTAGACTGAGGAACAGCTTCTACCCTGAAGCAGTTAACCAGAAGCTTGTGGTTTTATTCTATCAGGCCGTATTGGAAAGTATCATCAGGTTTGTAATGTCAGCGTGGTTTGGTAATCTCTCTGTGCAACTTAAATGTAAACTTGGTCGAAAGGTACAAACTAATGAAGGTGATAGGAAGAACTGATCACCCCTCCCTGCAGTCTGTCTATGAAGAATCTGTCCTCAGACTTGCTCGGAGGGTGCTGTCTGACCCCGCTCACATCCTCTACTCAATACGAACTGTTACCATCTGGAAAACTGTTTAGAGTCCCAGCGTGCAGAC